TGTAGGGGTTAAGAAGTGACAGCCCAGAAGTGACAGTGACGTCAGACAGCCCAGAGCTTGTATTCCAACCCTACAGCTTTCCGGCTGGGTGACCTTAGGCCAATTGCTTTACTTCTCTGAATCCCAGTCTCCTCATCTGTGAAATGGAGCAGATTAAATAAGATAATGTGTTGAGATAATATACAGTACTATATATAATATACGTTGTTATATAATAGTGGTATACAAATAAGATAATGTAATGATAGTGCCTGGCACCCCACAAGCTCAGTAAACGTCAACTGTGTTACCATCAGTCATCAGCCTTCACATGACAGGCTTGGGGGTGGGGCCTGGGGATGGGCTTTCCCCTGAGGATCCAGGGTGGACGTGTGAAGCCAAGGAGGAGCAGGCTAGTGCGGGTCGTCGAGAGGCAGGGCTGAAAACCAGGAGGGGCTGCTTGGGTGTCGAGCTGAAGGTCTAGGCTTTAAATGACGGCAGGGATAGCAAGACAACGCCATGAACCTTGAAGTCCTCCACCTGAGAACCCGATGGGTAAAGAGTGGCGGCCTCACGGCGGAGTGTGTTTAGCGATTTGGAAAGGGCTGCACAGAGATAGCCCTGGTTCCGCATCTTGCCAAGTCACCGACCAGGGTCAGTGCCTCATTCGCTGGAAAGCAGGAAGCCGGAGTATCCTTACTCCTATCACCCTGTCTCCACAAGGTGGGAGGTGAGGGAGAGCGTTTACTCTCACTGTCCAGAGTTGAAGCTCCATTCTGCAAAATGGCCAGAGCAGTCAGCAAGTGATGGAGTAGCTCTCGAAAAGAAACCTGGCATTTAATTAACTTTTCAATGTGCTGGTTCAGCAACCTCTATGTTTTACATTTTGAATATTGAACAAGCATCTCTTATCGGATCTGGATTGCTTCCGGGCCTGCCAGGGTGGAGAGCACCTGCCTAGCTTCTGCGAACACATGGGCTCTGGTCTGAGTTTTGGGATAGCCCAGTCAGGATCATGCAGGACTGGGGCTTCAGTCTGTGAAGGCTTTTCCTTCCTCCCCTCAGCCTTCAGGTCAACTCAGAGTTCATTCGTACTTTTTCTGGAAGAAAGTAGGCCACTGAGAAGTATAAGGCGCAGAGGTTTCCATTTTGCTGCTTAGCAACTGGAGAGTCCAGCCTACTCTCTGAAATAAGGTGTAGGGTGGTGATCTCCTCTATGTGACTGGGTCCCATTTCTAGAAATTACTGCCTCAGGCGGGACATGGGGTGAGGTCCAGCGCAAGGACGCTGCGAAAGCTCCCCAGGTGTGATTCTGTTGTGCGTCACTGGTTAAGAACAGCTGGCTTAAAGGATTCTCTGCAGCTTTCGATTCTCTGTCTATACCATCTCTTGCCCTCCGTAAGAATGGAAAGTCAGGAACGGACTGTCTGCACAGCAAATCGAAACAGATATCTGGGTGCCCTGGGGACATCTGAACATCAGCGGGTTTCTGCTCTTGAAAAGGCTCAGGGCAGTGTGTTTGCAGTCTGTGGCGGAAGTCAGGAGGTGGGGCTTCTTGCTTCAGCCTCGTCTCTCACCAGCTCTGTGTTTGGGTGAAGCACGCAGCGCCGTGCCCCATGGCCCTGCCTATAGAAGGGTGCCGCTGAAACCCGCTTCGCTGCTTTTCCAGAGCTCAGCTGGGCTGGTGTCCGTAGGCGTGGAAGGGAAGAGTCCTGAAAGGTGCTTTACTGGGTAAGGTGGTCTCGCCAGTGTTCGTATAACTGTCACGTTCCCAAGCCCTCGACAGCCACTTCTGGGGACAGAGGCATATGGGCCGTGGGTGCAGTGAGAGACCTGAAGCCTGGGCCAGAGCTGACCACAGCTCTGCGGACAGCCTCGGGGGATGGACCAGGCTACACAGTTTCCTCAGAAGTGTGTCTGAAAGGAAGTGAGGAACCAGAACCCACAATCCTCTACCTCAGCCTGCAGCCCACCCCGCCGCAATCTGTGGGAGGCCGGACTTCAGCCCCAAATCCTTCTTTGGTTCCTTATCCTGGTGGCCTATCCCAGTGGCAGGCCGCTGGGTTCCCCTTTTTTTAAACTGTCACCAATAGTTTGAAAACACGCTCTATATCATGAATGAGTATGTCTCTATATAAAATTGAAAAAAGAAGTTTAATACTTGTCCTTACTATTTGCAGTACACTCTTTTTTCTACTCTGTGCTATTAAAAAAAAAAAAGACTAGAAAGGCTGGTGGTAACCCACTCAGTTGATGTCACGACTCACTATTGTGGGAGATTCTGTGTCCTTGCACTGGGCCCTGTGTCATTGCGTGACCTGAGGTGCCTTTGGGGACCAGGCAGGTAAAGGAAATCTGTGAAGTGGAGTTTTATTTCAGAATAGCACCTTAAGTTATATTACTGAGATACATGTACAGATTATTTGCATATTCGCACTTCTATAAAGAAATGCACTCTGCCAATTCTCCTAAACCATGCTTCCCACTTAGTCTTCCTTTTGCTTTCTCACTTTGGGTAGCTGCACAGCTACAGGAAATACTTCACTGGCCGCTGAACTTCTGTAAGAGAACCAGCGGGGCAGAGGCAGTGATAAAGAGCTGGTCCTGGGCCGCCCAGGGCTCGGGAGGGCGGGGAGCCCAGGCGTGTAGAAGCCGGGCAGTCACTGCTCAGCTTCCCTGAGTTTTCCATGTGGGAACGCAGGTCCTGTGTTGCCAGGCTTTGTATTAGAAGAATTCCAAAATCTGGATTTTTGCACAGAATCTCCCGGTTTGGGTAATGAATTCACGTTAAAACAGAACAAAACAAAAATAAACAGCAGTGTGATCCAGACCAAACTCCTCTGCAAGCTAGACGCGGCCCAGAAGTGGCCAACTTTATCCAAAGCAGAGTGTTTCATGCCATTTCTCCAGGGCCCTACCCAGCTCCCCACTAGGCTTTCCATCTCCCGAGCAGAAGGCTCACCCAGAACCTGCTACTGCTGGCCAAGATGCGGAGAGAGAGAGAACATGGCACCTGAAGGCATTCCTGCTGTGTATCCTTGAGGGCTCCGTTTGATCTCGCTCCTTGGAGATTCAGGAGGATCCTTGGCTCCCCCTAGAGTGAGAGAGAGCAGGATGTGGGCTCAGCAGCAATTACGCCGAATATGAAACTCATCCCCTTTTTGGACGTGGAGTGGATAAATGGCAATTAGTCAGCCTTCCCCCGAAGACTAGCATTATCATTATTGTTTCCTTCCGACAGAATCCCCGCACCTTGCCGTGGCACATAGCTTAGGATGGAACTAGTCGGTCCAAAACCCTAAGGGTAATCAGAGGCATGTCTCTTGCCCGTACATAATGAAGGTGCTGGCCTAGTCTGCCTGGCCTCTTTAATCCCATTATTCTTCTCGGATCCCTGTTTCTGTCCAAGCCCTTCTGCCATTGGTGACATATTACTGAGTCATTTGGACAGCAGGTTTATAGAGTTCAAGTCCACCAGGACAATTAGAGGCAGTGTTCCTGGGGACCCTGTGAGCTTGGAGCGGAGCCTCCCACACAGGCAGAAGGCAGCTTTGGCGGCTGCCAGGGGCTCCACGTATAGGATTCCTTTGACTTGAACAGCCCTGGAAACCTGCACCAGCCGGCACCACCACAGTGGGGATGCCCGCGCACCCTGTGGCATGGACCTTTGGTGACCTCCTACTGCCCTTTCTGTCCCGCTCGCCCTCGTGCCCCTAGTGGCTCAGTCTCTCTACTTGGCCCTTTAAGAATCAAAAACTGCACCCTGGGAGACTCCTCAGATTGGTTCCATCCTGTTCTTCCCACTTCACCTGCCCATTCTCTTCTCCCTCCCTGACTTCAGCCGAAATTCTTTCTTCCTTCCTTTCTCTCTCTTTTTTAAGAGTGCCTTGATAAATTTCATGGGAAGTAGTCTACTTAAACTTAGGCTTAATTTATGATTATACTCTTGGGGGAATTCTTTGCATTTTGTGGTTGCATTTTGTGCTTTGCATTTTGCAATTGCTGGTTGGTTCTGATATAGCTCTTTCTGGGGAGGCTTGCGGGCCCCGCCCTGTCGAGGGCCTCCTCATGCCTCCTGACTCCTGGCTGTTAGGACATGACCACCACTTTGTCCCTGCTCGTCACGGTGACTGATTTCTGACTGAAAAGAATTCATTAAAAAACCAAAAGCTCTGTTCTTGTGGAAATTTTCAGACATACAGAAAAGCAATCATCATGTCCCCAACACCCAACTTTAACAATCGTCAACGTCTTGCCGTCTCAGTTAGAGAACTTCGGATCAGGGTCTCAGAGTGTCAGTAGTTGGATGAGAATTACTGGAAACCTGTTTGAGATGCAATATTCCTGGGCTCCTCCTCCCCTGGACCAGCTGACCCAGAAGACTCTGGCTGCCGGGCCCAGCAGTTTGCGTGTCTGACGAGCTTCCCGGATGGTTCTTATGCACATTCAAGTCTGAGAACCAGCGCGTTAGATAAGCATCTGTGTGTGACAGGCTTCCTCTTCTTGTGGAATGTCTCAAGGGCACTAGTCCCCCAGCATCACTCACAGGGTCTTCTAGTCCTTCACGGGGAGGATACAGAAAGACAGACTCTGAACCTGCAGCCTGACCTGTGTGGCTGGTTCATCCCTTTTTGCCCTTGGAAGTGCCACGTGCTGTCACAGCTGCTCCAAATAAGACCCAAGGCCTCAGTCCTGAGAACGTGCTCTCTACATTGGTCAGTTAATTCTTGAAGGAAGGCACTCTACCATCTATATCCATTGGAGTTTTGAGCTTCTCACTTAACCTGTACTTAGACTCAACAATTTAATTTGGAATTATGCTGAAATCAGGCTATCAGGAGACATTCACAGTGTCTGTAATTCTCATGATGGTTATGGACCTTGGTCTTTAAGAGTAACCCAGACAAATAAGGCACTTGGGATATGCTAATTTGCCCCCACTTTTGAAACCCCCACTCTGATATACCACACCAGGGCGTCAGACTAGTGGGTCCTCATAACCTTGCCTTTCTCTTTTTCAGGTCAGGAAGGAGGGCTTCTGAAGAAATAGAAGAGTATGTTTCCAGTATTCTCATGGCATCCTCTGGTGACCTTTGTCAACAGTGCAGTCTTGGTGGTCCTTATCTGTTGAGCCTGGGTTGAACCCAGCATCCAAAAATAGACAGTATGAATGTGGCTGTGGTCTGGGGCTGGAGTTATGCATCCTGAGTCAAGGGTTTGGTTCATGCTGCTTCCTCAGCTGAAGGTCTGGAGGCCGGCATTGATGCTCATATCATTTCCCACCCTGTGGATTTTAGCATTGGATGTTCAGCTTTCACAGTCCTGACCCATGGGCTCTGCTTTGTGATTATAGATGGGCGGAAGCAGTGCCAGCTTTCTAAACCTAGCCTTCTCCTAGGACTTATATCAAAAAGAAAGAAGGTTTCTGGGTAAAGATGGAGTGTGAATGCAGGGCCACTGAATTTCCCCCCTGCAGGGGTGGGAGGAGCATCCATACCATAGTCGGTGAGATGCTGCCCTGTGGAATGGTGCACTGCACAACCTGTGCAGCCGTACATGGCACACCCCATTGCCTGATTAGATTTGACCAAGTCAGTGGAGGAAAATGTGTCCAGAGACATTTTCATCTAGGAGAAAGAATGGATACTATAAAAATTTGGGTTGTTTCTTTCTGTGTTTGAAACTCATTTTCTGCTTTCCTTTCCTTCTTTTTGGGGGCAGTCACCGCCTCAGACAGCACAGCCTGGATGGATCAGATGACGGAGGAGGTAAGATGCCCTTGGAGGATGTCCGAAGGGCCTCTAGAGAGGTCCCAGAGCCCCCGGAGCGTTTCCTGGGCCACAGCTAAGGCACTGTTTGCTGTGGCCTTACGGAATGCATCTGCAGGGGCCTCGTCCCCACACGCTGTTTCACGTCTGGAGTACCTCACCCCCTTCTTTATCCACTAACGCTCGTCATCCTTCAGAGCTCAGCAGAAGCATCAGCTCCTCTGAAATGTCTTCCCTTCCCCTCCTACTTCTCTCTGTCTCGGATGTTCTTTCTCTGTGCTCCACAACCTCCTGGGCAGACCGCCACTGTAACAACAGCAGCAACAATAGCTAATATTTATTAGGTGTTTATTAGGTCCCAGGCACCGTTCTACCACTTTATAGATGTCAAAGCATTTAATCTTCACAGCAACCCTACGAGATAGTACTCTTATTATCCCCATTTTATAGTCTAAAGTACAGAGAGATTAAGTAAATTGCCCATGGTCACAGAGCTAAGTGACCGTCACCCTTTAACTCTTGGTTGGCTTGCTTGTTCTTCCCACCAGGCTCTGAGCTCCTTGATGGTGGACCCAGGTCTTAGTTATCTTTGCCTCTCAGATTCATGACACATAGTAGTCAGTTAATGGCTACGAGGTAAATGAGGGAGAAACCAGCACTAAGACAGCCAGCAGCCACGTCCCAGCTGAAGCCTCTGTTCAAAACTCGAGAGAAAAGATAAAGTTTGTGTGTACTTTTTACGAGAAACCTACTCAAGGGGAGGTTATATTTGGGACTTAAATTATCAAAGCCCTTTTTTCTTAACCCACATATTTACCATTTCCACACTATTCCTTTGTGTAGAACTCAGTTTCCATCTGGTATCATTTTCCTTGTGCCTGAAGAACTTCATTTAACCTTTTTTTGTAGAGCAAAAAACGTTGCCAGGTCCTCTGGCAACAGATTCTCTCAGCCTTGTTTGTCTGAAAATGTCTTTACTTTTCACCAGATACAGAATTCTAGGCTGACACCTTTTTTCCTCTTTTAGCACTTGAAACAGTTATTTCATCGTCCCCTGGCTTGCATTGTTTCTGACGAGAAGTCAGTGGTAACTCTTGTCTTTGTTCCCCTGTACACAGCGTGTCTTTATCTCCTCTGGCTGCTTTTAAGATTTATTTCCCTCTATCAGTTATTTTCAGCAATTTGGTTGTGATGCCCCTTGGTGTGGTTTAGTTTGTGTTTATTCTCCTTGAACATCTTGAGTCTGTGGATTTAAAGTTTTCATCTGATTCCGAGAATGTTAGCCATTATTTCTTGAAGTATATCTTTCTCACTCTTACTCCTTCTGGGACTCCAGTTTCAGGTATGTGGGTTGTATCAGTTGAAATTGCCACAAGGTCATTGAGGCTCTGTTTTGGTTTGTTTTTTTCCTAGTCCATTTAAACTCTGTACTTCAGTTTCGATTGTTCTATTGCTGTGTAACTCATCTTTTCTTCCACAGTGTCTAATCTGCTCTTAAGCCCATCCAGTGAATTTGTTATTTCAGATGTATTTTCAGCTCTGGAAGCTCCATTCAGTTCTGTATATGTAGATACATCTATATCTTTATATATCTCCCATTTATCTCCTTACTCTGTTCATGTTTATTTTATCCTCAAAAGTAGCCTTTTTAGTAGCTGTTTTAAAGTCCTTTTCTGCTAATTCTATCATCTCTGTCTTTTCTGAAGCTGTTTCTGTTGACTGATTTTTCTTCTGGTTACAAGTCATATTTTTCTGCTTCTTCACACGATAGTAGTTTTTTGATTGGACGTTGGCCATCGTGAATGACTTTGTTGAGTTTCTTTAAAGACTGATATATTTGTTTTGGTAGGCAGTTGACGTATTTGTTGATCAACTTGATCTTTTTGGGAATTGTTCTTAAGCTTTATTGGGGCAAGTCTAGAGTTAGCTGTAAACGCGGAGACACTCGGGTGTCTCCACTGAGTGCCTGGTGGTTCACCAAGGACTCTCCCCTCTGCCTCAGTGGAGCCGAGCCTCTTCCAGTTCTGTATGAGCTCTCGGGATGGCTCGGCTCACACCTTCCTGGTAGTTTGCCCAGCCTTGTGGAGTTTGGCCCTATGCATACACAGCTTAGTATGCAGTCAGTCTGCATTTCTGGAGCTCTTCTGCTGCACCACTCCTTCTCTCTCCTACTCTGCTTCTCACATTCCAGCCCCCTCAGCCTCCTGAACTTTGACCTCTGTCTCCTCAACTCAGCAGGACCTCCATGCTCTATTTGGGGTTCCTCCTCCCTGTGCCAGTGTCCAGGAAGTACCTAAAGGCCGAAAGCCAGGGTGACTGCTGGGCCTCACGTCAGTGTTTCCCTTCTCTTAGGGGTCACAGTCCTGTGCTACCTGTTGTCCACTGTCTGAAAACAGTTGTGTCTTATATTTTTTCCAGTTTTCTAACTGTTTACAGCAGGAAGGCAAGTCCAGTACCAATTACTATCTCATGGCTAGGAGTGGAGTCCAGACCATCCTATTAACTAGCCTTTGCATGCAACTACAAGTGAAGGAGGGAATTAAATGTAGGAAACTTGCATGATTACCTGTGCTTTAGCTACCTCACAGGGTTGGGGTGAGCGCCATATAGGACATATGTGAAATATTCTGGGATGATGGTTAAAATACAGATTCCCAGGCCAGCCACAAATCAGAAACTGGAGTTGGGGCTCAGAGATCTGCATTAATTTAAATAAGCTCCCTGGATGAATATTTTGCACACTGAAGTTGGACAGCCCTTCTCCAGTGCCCCTAAAGCCAGGACTGAGGACTGGAGAGGATGGGAATCATGAAAAAAGTACTTTTCTGCCTCATTTCCAAAGGGTTTTTAAGGTAGAATGGTAGTCACTGGAGGTCAGGAATTCAGTCTACACTCTAAGATTTAGTAAGAGCTTATGAGCATGGTCTCATCATTCTTCGCACTGTTCTTTGCTTTTTCCATTATCTCTTATTGACAAGCTCATTTCTTTTTGCCAGACCTTCTTCTTAGTTCTACTCACTAAACTCCCTTTAACTGTCAAACTTCTCCACCCACTAATAATTCCCAATGACCCTATTGAATAAGGTATCTTGCATTTCTGTTCCAAAGTCTCTTTTCTCAGACATGTACCTAGGATGTCTTCTGCCAGAGCTAAACTGGCAGGTGTGGTGGCTCAGTGATTGGTGGCTGCTGCCCACACTTTTGATCTTCCTGTCCGCACACATTGTCTGTTACTTCAGCCGTTGGTTGCGTAGTGCATCCAGAAGGATGTACCAAAGGACTCAAGGAGGCAGGGTCCCTTCCAGCCAGTGACAAAGCTGTTAGGTCGTTAAGGAGCAGTGTGTCTGGAAATTATGATGCTGATAGCTTTGAGGTGCTTGTTCAATTCATGGTCTACAGAAGGTTTACTCAGCTAGTATCTTCTCCAGGCCTTTCCCTACCCTACCTTGAGCCTCTTTCCAACTCCCTTCAAAGGACTTATGAAATCTTACTTTCTCCATTGTTTTCAGTGTATGAAAATGCTACATTTCAAGAAGTAACTGCTAAATGTTACAGCAAAATCTTCTGCATGCTAAAGTTTACACACATTACAAGTGCACGTTATTAGCAGGTTGTGCTGGCTGCCCTTGTGGCATCATCACATTAGAATTAAATTATTGCAGCTTTAAGCAACTCTGTAGGCCTTCTTGGCCAAACCCGTCATTTGACATGTTACAAAATTGAGGCCTAGAGATTCTTATACAAAATAGCAGGACTCAAAGAGGAAGTCTGGTCTTCTGACTCTCAAGAGAACGCGCTGCTCTCATACCACAGTGTCTACCAGCATCACTACTGTCACCATTCATCACCAAACGTTAACCATGTACCAGCTACTAAGCCTAAGCCTAAGGTTTTACATGTTTTCTCGTTTAATTCTCAAAACAGATCTATGGGAAAGTTTTCTAAAATCTACTTTATTGAGGGTAATAAACTGCATCCATTTAAAGTGCACGATCTGAGTTTTGACAGATGTATACACTCCATGCAGCCACTGCCACAGTCAATATGCAGAACATTTCCATCACCCCTGGAAGTTTCTCATACCTCTTTCCAGTCCATCCTTCCTCTGCCCTTGTCTCTCAGGCAACTACTGATCTGTTTTTGGTCACTATAGAGTGGTTTGCATTTTTTTGGAATTTTATTTAAACTGAACCATATGTATGTACACTTTTGTGTCTGGCTTTTTTCACTCATTGTACTGATTTTGAGATTCATCTAGGTTGTTGTGTGTATCATCAGCCTGTTTCATTTATTGGTGAGTAATATCCCATTGTGTGGACATAGCACATTTTGGTTATCTGTTCACCTGTTAGTGGACATTTGGATTGTTCACTGTCCCTGTTTTAAAGATGAGTAGACTAAGACAAGAAAGGTAACCTTGCTCGAGGTCACACAACTAGTAAGTGACAGTGCCAGGATTGGGGAGACAGCTGTGCTCACCACTCTACCACCAATGCTGCACTGGCCAGCACTGGAATGTGAATACAGGTCTTCACCCCAGAGTCCTTGCTCTTGACCTCTGAGCTGTAACAAATGGTACGACCCTCAGCCATGTTGGCATCTCCTTCCACAGGTAGGTTGTATTAATGCCAGCTCCCAGGTTTGTAATAAAGAGTCCCTCCCTTATTGATAGGATGCTTAATACAGTTTCATTAAGGAAGGAGAGAAGAAATATATTTTCAGAGAATATCTCTAGTATGTTTTTCCCCTTTATAAACTTGGAATGTGAAATTTGTGATTTGGCCTTTATTTTGGCCCTGGAGGTTTGAAGCCTGAACCCCTTCCTTGTCGGAGAGTGCACTTGGTTTTACCTTCTGGGAGAGGTGCCTCTTCCCCAGCATAAATCTGTTTTCCAAGCAGTTATGCCCGAGTCCTTTAATGGAAAATCAGCTCATATGTTACACTTCACACTTGACTTAGTCCATTTCACTGTATGTGAATGTTTAGAATCCATTATGTAGTAGGAATCATATGTTACATATAACTAGTTTCTAGAATTATCTTTGCTCAGAGAATTACTTGGTTGGCTAGTGAAGGCTGCTCCTTTGAACTTACAATAACCAGTGGGTAGGCAGACTCCACAAATGATTGCCCTGAATCATCCACGGATGCTCATTCAACAATGACATTAAGCAGATCTTTGGGCACCTGCAAGGGAACCTGCTAATTCCCTTAATGAAATCACATCCAGATTCTTTGAGGTCGTTAGTGCAAGGAGCATCGTCACCTGGGAAGGGGCTGGGTTTACTTGGCAGAGGTGGGTGACTGGCGAGCAATCTCAAAGGAGAAGAATAATCTCGGGAAATAGGAATGAGGCTCTAAGGTCCAGGGTCCCCTCCAGGCAGGTGGGCTCCTTCCACCACTAGCCTTAGTGAGGAAAGCCAGCAAGTTTTCACACAGTGCTTCCTGTGGCCAGTACTGCTGCAGATGCTGGAGACAGTGATGAGTAAGACAGTCCTTGCCCGCCAGGAGCTTCTGATCTAGTGAGAAATGCCCTCCCATCTTCCCCTCCCCTTTTCTAGGAGCCATGTCTCTCTAGAGAGATTTCTCAGCGTGCAGCCTCCCAAGCTTCAGTCTTGGTACACGTTGCTCCTTCTTCCCCGGGGAAGGTTCCAGGGAGAGAGAGAAGCACTTCCTCCCCTCCATTGATATCTCAGGCTTCCAAGGGAAGAGAACAGAAAAATAGAGGAAAAAGGAGCTTTTAAGATAAGGTGTGTTTTTAGAATGAGAAACGGAGAGTGAGTGTCGTTTAGAAGGGTTTTGGGATCTGTTGGTTAATCAGAACGTTCTACAGGCAGACTGTTTGCAAGACCATGGCAGGCTACAAGCTCTGAGGCCTTTAGGGGCCAGGCAGATGACGTAAACACATGAAACAGCAGAATTGTATGACAATGAAGAATGATGGAGCCTGTGGTGAACCCAGAGAGGAGACGTCATAGCCTAAAAGTTTTCAAATTCATATTTCAAAAAAGAAAGAATTTTTAAAAGTCACTTTATAGGCATCTGCTGGTTGGATTAGGCCTTTGGGAAGTGGTTTGCAAATCCTTCATAAGACCTTATAGGGCTCTGCTCTAAAAGAATTCAGAACTTTGTTGGGGAGACAAAACATACAAGATGAAAAGCAATACAAGAGTTAAATAGCTAAGACAACAGTAGCATGGATGGAAAGGCAGCAAATGGTGGTTGCTGTACGGGTGACTTAGATTATTAAGGGCCGTGAGTTCAGAAGGGGAAGCCATCCCTGTGGGCCAAGGGCACTTCAGGAAGAAGAAAGAACTTGTGCCGGATCCTGAAGGATGGATAGGAGGTAGAGAAGAATGTGAAAGGCCTTCCAGGTAAGTTGCCTGGCATAAGGAGGGACTCCACATGGAGAATGACTGCAGAATTCACAGTGGGCAGGAGAGGAGCTGGTTCTGCTTCTGGTCTGTTCTCCACAGCAGATATTCACCATCCCCACATAAACTGCCTTTAATGAAGCTTGAAGGTTGCCAATCATCTAATTTGCCAGTTCGAGGTAGAATCACACACAGCTGGAGCTGACACAATGCTTCAGGGAAGTTGGGATTCATGATTATGAGAATAGCTGAGAATGATGGACATCCAGAGCCCCAGAATGACCTTAGGGTCCCAAAATTGTAGGATGGCAAAACTGATCTTTCCTCTTTACGCGACCATCCTTTAGTGGCATAATCATCCATTCCTATTTTGAGAATCAAGTTTCTGGTTTGCCCTAAGGCCTTTAGACTTCCTGGTCATGGAGGGTTGTATGGTGTTAGAGAAAGAATGTTGGATCTGGAATAGGAGTGAACCCATCCTCTGTAAGTGACTTTGGGCAAGTCATTCATTCATTCATTTAACCACCATTTGTTGAATACCTACCACGTGTGATGCATGGGACCAAGCACTGGGGATATGAATGGAAAAACCCTTAGTTCTTGTCCTCATACAGCTTACAGTATAGTTGGAGAAATAGGGACTAAACAGTCACACAACTAATGAGTAAGGACAAACTGATTGAGTCCACTGAACGGAGAGTGCAGGGTGCTATTGGAGAAAATGACATGAAGATGATGAGACCCGGACCCGGTGATGAGAGAAGGCCACTCGGAAGAGTGACTTTTAAACTTGAACTTGAAGGAAGAGTAAAAGTTACCAGGAAGGGGAGAGGGGAGTTGGGGGCACGGGGGACCCTGGTGGAGGAGACAGCAGGTGCAAAGTCATGTCACCTTTCTAACCCCAGAGCATTTCCAGGCCTGTTTGGTCTCTTCCGGCTCTCAGAAGGTGAACTCTGGGTAGAACATGAAACCTTAAAGATGAACATTGAGAGGCACACAAACTGGAGGAAAGAAATTCTTTGTCTTTAAAAAAGATAAACAATATTCGGGTTGAAATAACCTCTGAAAACAATTAGATACGGACTCAAGTTTCAAATTTATCTCAGAGCTAAATTCAAGTTAGGAAAGAACTTGTGAGCCCCCAAATCTGTCTTTAAAAAGTGAAAAAGTCTCTGAAAACAGGAGCTTAAAAAAAGGATTAGAGCTTTCTTGCATTTAACCATTGCCTTTTGGCATAACCCGGGACACTGGGTGGAATTCGAACTCCCTCTTCCTGGCAGCTCCCAGGGCCTCTTGGGCACACCTCATCCACACTGGAGAGGGCTGTGCTCTTTGCATCCTGAGGTCCAGTTTTGACAGCATCGACTACTTCAAAACCTTAGGAATAATAAATCCTTATGGCCAACCAAAAAGTGTTTAATTCCTAAAGGATGAGCTGAGTTGAGCCACTTGTAGCCAGAGGCAGTCGGGGGCTTAATTCTGCGTGTGTAGCAATCTAGATGATCTGAGCGCTCTGAGTTTAAGGGTAATTGCTCAATTTTCTATCCATGTCAACAGGGAAAATAGGTAAAAGTGGCTGAACACAGCCAAGCAACGAGGCTGGATGAGATGTGAGATGCTAGACTGTCAGTGGAATTAGAAAAATGCTGTCTACAGAGGGCTATCGCTCTGTCGCCCCGTCGCCCCTCTGTTCCCGTCTCCCGGTTCATCTCTGTCTCCGGGCTTTCTGACTCTCTTTTGGGCTCTTTCTCATTCCTTGCTTAGTCCTTCCACCATATCCTTCATCACTTCTGCAAGCAGCGAAGTCACTCTGAGCCTAAACCGCTTTAATGTGGAGAAGGAGAAAGTGGAAAGAATTCTTTGAGTACAGATAAATTGGAACCCTGACATCTCAATTCCTTTCTCTTGCTTAGTAAGAATGTTCCTTATGTTGGCATTCTGTTCTTAAGCTTAATACAGCATGTGGGACTTCTTAGGTGGTCCCCAAACCTAGTTGCTTTGCCTCTCTAAATTTTTTTAACTGTTCCAACAGCACTGGTTTCTGATTAAATAATGTTCCTTAAAATCAGTTTTTCTAAGTTCAATCAGTAGGACTAGATGTGAAGGTCTTCCTAAACCCACGCCTCCCTACGCTTCCCCCCCCCACACACACACACGAGCTCCTTCAGCTAAACGTATCCATAGCAGGAAAGGGCCGGGTGGGACTCACTGGTCCCAGGACTAGCCGTCCTCTCTTCTGTCTCTGTGCTTTGTTAAACTTTGGTCTGTTTACAGGATATTGGGTAAGATTTGGAAGAGAAGTCCTTCTTGTAGGAAACAGTATTGACAATTAATGTTTGTGAGTGTTTGCCGTGAGCCAGGCACCGTGCTGCTCCACCTGCCGTACTCCAGCTCATCCTCACGGCAGTCCCCTGAGGACACACTGGGATTGTCCCCCTTCTACAGAGGAGGAGATGGAAGCCCTGGGAAGTTAAGTAACTCACAGAAGTCGCATGGCTAATACGCAGTGATGTGCTGGTAACACTAACGCCTGGCTCTCCAGGGAAAAAAAGCCCTCATTGGTAGTGTTTGCCAGTTTCTGTGGTGCGCATACTGCCACCATGGCTGGTTTCGAGCTCCCAGCCTGACATCATTGACCGCAGAGCTGGGAAGAGAGGACGGCAGTACGCCAGTACATCCTATTTCCACCGTACATGTACATTAGATATTAATAATTTCCAGAGCGTAGACAAAGTAAAATGTAAAATTTAGGAAGTGTTGACTTTTGAGTATTACCTTTATTTTGAATATAATTGAATTAGAAAGGTGTATAATCTTTAGTGATGTTTATGTTTAACAACCTGTGTGCAAAATTCCTAAAAATTTAGCCCTTGGCTGTTCTGAGTCAGTACGAGCTGCTCCAGCACACCGCCATTTACCG